TTGGTACGTGCCAATTCTCCTCCTAATCTCTGAACGATGCCTTCTTTCGGCATCGTCTTCTCCTATCCTTGGGAGAAGGACCTCCTTAGCGTCTCTGTCGAGTCGCTGATGATATTCCAGTGTGCTTTCACTGGTGGTTCTTTTCGTGAATTTTTCACAAGTTCTATTTATGTCCTGGACCGTGGTCCAGGGGTGTTTATTTGTTTCCTCACTTTTTTGTGAGAAATTTATTTCCTTCAGCAAATCTGTTTGTTTGCTGATTTTTTCAGTCAACGCGTCGATTGCGTTGGCCATTCTTTCTAGAGTTATCTCTAGACGAGCTGTGCTATTATGGTTCGTTTCCTCGATCTTTTTTTGGATCGAGTTTATCGCGTTTATTATGTGCGATTCCTGGTTTTCCAGGAGGAAGTTTGGTTGGGCGAGCAGAGACTCTCCCCAGTTGACATTTCCGCTTCTGGGGGTTCCAGAATGGGTTCTTGGAGTGAACACTCCATGCTCGCTTTGTTTAGGCGAGGCTGTTGTGGAGGGTGCTTCCCTTTCATAGAGGGGTTTGTTCGCTGGTTTTTCCTTACTTTTACGTAAGGCTTTCTCAGCGAACTCCCTCATTTCAGTTCGCCTCCTCTTCATTATCTCGGAGACCTCCTCCGAGGTTGGCGACCTTGCCTTGTCTGGCATGGTGTGTGGGAGTGTAAACAGCGGAAGTTCTTTTGGAGCTTCCGCGCTCTGGGAGATCCTGCTCTCAGGGTGTATTTTCGCGCCTTCTCAGGCTGAAAGCCTGAGAAGAAGTTGATCTTCACTTTCCGTCCTCCATTCAGATGGAACCTGGAACAAGTCCAGTAGTTTTTCGGATAGCGGATGCAGGGGCTCTTCCCTTTGTTTCCCTTTGTCTGCCTTTGGGGCTTGACTTGGGGACGTGAGGGGGGGCTCCAGGGGATAGTGGGGCCCTGGAGTTTCCTGCGACTCTATCCGATCAGCTTTTTGGGCTGATCGTTCGGCGCTTACGCGTTTTTCGCGCAAGTCGATCACCTCGTGAGGAGGTGAGGGATCTTCCCCAGCTTGGGTTAGATCGGTATGTTGTGGAGTTCTGGGGGTATTTTGCCCCGCACTTACTCCACGTAAGTTTCTAAAACCTTCAGGGACCAGCCCTGAGGTGGTTGCTAATGCCGGATCATGTTGATCCTCGTCGTCGTCTGACGACGGCTTTTGGTTTGAATCTCCCATGATGGGAGATTGCAGTTTCTTTATAAACCGCTCGTTTCTTTTTAGTGTCGCTGCAGATGCGACCTTGCCCTTGCGGGCATGTTTAGGTGCCATAGGCGCTTCCGAGTCAGATGTTAAGATTGTAGAGTTGTGGGTTGTGTTGTAAAACACACCTCATGCACTTAAAAAAGTGTGAGGTCTTAGGGTGGCTCAGCACACAAGGCCGTAAGTGATACAAGATAGTGTATTTTACGGTGGTGTGTAAGCAGTTACCCAGAGGTTCCCACTTGCCCACGTGACTATATGTATCTAATTTACATGTGACTCGGGGTTCGGGGCTATTGCCCTGACACTCATATACAATGTACATAATTACTTGTAGCCTCAGTCTGAAAATCGACTTGAAACCCCACCCAATTTCCCCTAGAGACTTTCCATTGTTAGCTCCAAAATTAATGACAAAACAGTAGTGGCACTGTGCTCCACCTGAGTTGCTGAGCCAAGGTCCTCATGTATTAAGTCTCCATTCCACTTCTGAATCTGCCACCTTCTAACAAATAGAGCCACAATCACAGTCACAATAAGTGCTCACCCTGGGTACATGGCCATATCTACACCAAATCTTCATGGATTTTGGCAATCAAACTGGCAAGAAATCAAGTGTTTCATGTAACCCAAAGTATTTGATGGAGAATTGGAGAGACAAATGGGGGGAAATTTGGTTGCACCTTGCACACTCAAGCCATGTGCTGCCCAGTCATGACTCTCCATGAAGAGTCAGGAATATTCATGAAGGGTCATGAGCATTCATGTGCAGGTATGGGAATTTTTGGGCATGCTCATGAATTCCTGTGAAGAGTCATGACCATGCATGACCATGCATGGAGATTCATGGCTCTGCATGAAGATTCATGATGCATGGCTTCATGACTCTTTGTCATATCCATCCCCGGCCATCAACTTCCGGTCCCTCCGATCCCTCCGGTCTACCTCCGCTCCTTCTTCACTAACCTCGGAGCTCCTGTATTCCGCAATCCCCTCAGTACCCCTCGATGGTCATCACCCCCTCCTTTCAATTTATTACCTACGCCTCCCTAAGTACGGAGCCCCAAAGACTTCCGGACAGCTCCGACATCCGCTAGCGCACTCCCGCCTCCACTGGGCAATACACTTGCCTGCCCTGCAGAGCCCACCTTCGGGCCTATCCCTCCTTTCCGTTTCTGGGTTATCGCCTGCCTTTCTGTTAACCCCGCGACCCGACTCATCGGTAATATTCAGTCGGCTAATGTTTAACCCCATTAGCTCCGCTCCATTCGGCTCCGCCATTTGCGGACCCATCTTCGCTGTAACCATATATATATCCAGCTTGTACATAGGTTACACTTCAGTAATAAAATCGACTAGAGTTAACCCCCTTCAGTTCTGGTTGCCAGTTAGTAAGTTAGGGCACGGACGTGTTACTAGGCACAGCGCTCTTGGCATAAGTCGCTGAGGCCGAAGCCCTCCACCACGGAGACTTTCCTTCGTCTCAAACCTGGTCTCTGACACTCTTCATGAAGTCAGAAGTCATGAACCTTCATGAAGTTTCATGAAACAGCATGAAATTTCATCATGAAACAGCATGAAATTTCATGCTGCTTCATGAAAATTTTCATGAAGGTTCATGCTTGCCAAAAAAAATCAACTTTTTGGGTTGAAAATTAATGATTTCAATATAAATATTGTATATAAGATAAAGGTTCATGAACCTTTATGATGTTTCATGAAAATTCATGGGATCCATGAAGAAGGTTCATGAAGTGGATTACACTTTTTGATAGTACCTCTCAACTACAGTACAGGACTTATATACATAATAAAAGACAAATGGGAACAAAGGGGAAAACCCAAGAGGGACTTACCCACTTGCTGGGTTGGCAAGCTCGTGAGAGAATCGCCTTATCGAGCATTGTGGAGTGGGTAGGTGAAGGGTGGAATTAGCAACAGCTACTGGAGAGTGGGAAAACCTTTGTGGGGGTGGTGGAGGTCCTAGGAGGTCCATAGTAATATTGGGTAGGTAGAAATATTAATAAACGTTTAAGGTGAGGATAAGAGGCACTGGAGAAGGTACCGGAGATGGGAGGTGGAGGTGAACTGGAGGTATAACCAGAGGGTATGGCGAAGGTGCGGGGGGAGGATGGACCGGAGGTGGACCAGAACGGTGGCAGAGTAGAGCGGAGGTGTGGCAGAGTTGGTATGGATATGACAGTTCCCCCTTTTGCCACCCCTTGTTTCCTTATTTCCTTTTGTCCTTCTGGGCCAGTCCTATTTAGTTAGTTGTGCTTATAACGCGTGTAGGTTACACTGGATGTACCTTAGTTTGTATATCGACTTGGATTTCCCCACTTGTCTCTTCTCTACATCGTAAGGCTCCTGTCTGAAATTGGGACAACAACATAAGAACGAAGTGCAGCACTCCACCTGAGTCGCTGAAGCTGAAGTCCTGCCCCTCCAACCTTACAAGCCTGGACGACTTTGCACACCTTGCAGATCATTGATGACTTCCACATCATTGTCCTCCTCCTGTATCATCTCCATAGTGGCCTTCATTGGCGCTGTTTTCTTCCTCCTGTAGTCAGGAGGGAGATTATGTGTTTGAGTAACATCAACGTGTGGTATTCTCACCCCACTGTGCATGGGTTGTGATGACAGAATGAATGGTGCAGGCACGAAGGTTGGCCTGAAATGGGGCAGTAAAGTTCCACTCTCCCCTGCAGTTGATGATCCAGCCAGTTGTCCTGGGTCGATTTCCCTACCTTTCCCCTTAGTGTCAGTGGTCACTGTCGCCATCAATGGGGTAGGTGGCTTAGTTCCACTAAAGACAAATCGTTGTAATGGGTCTATCAATCTAGACTCATGACTCAGGTCTGGGGGGGGTAGGTATCTCTCTATCTCTCAGGTAGGTATGTGGTCCTTGGGAGTATGGTGCTGATACTCTGTCTAACCTCTCTAACTAACTGTCCAGTGTCATGGGAGGGTCCGATACAATCAAAAAAGGAAAGTCACATGCATATGAAAATAGTAATGGAAGAAAGAAAACACTGTATCCCCTCAATCACTCCACCAAATCCAACGATCTTAGACTCGTCAGAACCACCTCTACAACCCCTACAACTCCTACTATTACACTGACTCACCAATCCTAATCCCTGATGCAGTAAAGGGTGAAGTGTGCAATGAGGCTTGTTGTAAGGTTGGTGTAGGTGCTGTTACAAAAATGGGGCTGGAGGCACCCATTTTCGTCCATCCTAGGCACAGGAAGAGGGAAAGGGGTAGAAGTTGAGTTCATTCGATTTACAGTAGATATAGCAGGTGTTGTTATAGATGTTATCACAAAGACATGGTTTTGTTAATGATTGATTGGTTAAACTCTATTACTATACAAATCATGTGATACAGAACCCATAAGAGTCTAAAATGGGAAATCCCCATTTCCATAACAGGTGCCGACCTTGTATCTCCTAGTTCCTCAAGTCCGTCAAAGAGATAAGCTGTATAGAGCTATATTTCGACAGGTGTGGAGGAAAGGAGTTCAACTCCATTCATCTCACACTCCGTTATATAAATATGTAATTACATTGTTGTACATTATTTATAGCAAGGGAATAAAGATGGTTGGCCTCAAGGAACACCATTCCTTACACTTGTTTTAGCCTGCATGGACTTGTCCCCACAACATCGTCCATTGGGTTCTTGTATCTCGATGGATGGGCATGAATTTGCCACTTCTGTGACAATGGCAGTGGCAGTGGGAAATCCCTTCAGGTACTGGGACCCCAATGATTGGTTGACCCATTTACAGGGACCTCTTGGGGCACTTGTGCCTCAACAGTGGGTTCTTTTGTCTGTTCAGGGACAACAATGGGATCCCCATCAGTTAATGGGTTTGGGGGTGGGTTTTCCACCATTACTGTGGGTGGCTTTGGCTCATTGTGTCGAGAGAGTGCAAGGAGAATTTCGTTTAATTTCTTGTTTAATCTCTCTTCCACCTTGATGATGTTGTGATCTAAATGAGCAATATTGTTGCTATTCCCAGAGATATGGGTATTCATGTTATGGACATCGCCCCTCAATTCAGCGATGTCATTGTCAACTTGGTCGATGCGATTTCTTAATACTCGCACCGTCTCAGATGCAAGAGAGTGGGTTCATGGAGGATGCAACATGCACCTTGGGATGTATGCTGCGAGAGTCTCAGCTATGAGGGCTTCAGACATTGTAACTTGGTCAATGTCTCTTAGATAGATCTGATGCTGTCACAGGGATTTGCTGGTGTACCATAAATGAGCCAAATCCCATGATTCTACTACCCTCAGCAAGCACCTCACATCCATCACATGTAGCCTATATCCCCTCACACTCCTTACACACTTTCCTATTTTTCCTTATTTTTCTGATTCCATTTCCGGTGTCTAGAGCCCGATGTTTCCACTTCCTTATCGTCATGTGATGCTCTTTCCTTATTTTGTTTTATCAGACTCTTCCATGACCCACTGTACAGTTTGGTAGAGAGTATCAGCACCACACTCTAGAGGACCAAATATACCCATCCACCCTTTGCCTGACCAGTAGTGAGATTCCTATCCCCCCTCCTTCCTGTCTCAAGTCTAGTTGGATAGACCCATTACAACGCATCTGAGATGTGTTGCTGGGCCCTTGCAGGTCCAGATCACCACTATCAATTGAAGTGGTGTCATCTTCCACCCTACAGCCAGTGGAGGGACCAGCCATGTTGGCAGGAGTGTTAGACTGGCTCCTGGTGTTGTATTTCGACATCAGGAGGGTGTGTTGTTCAACAAGTTTGGGTGAGAACTTGATTGAAGTCGTGCGTTGTCAGGGGCGAACGATGCATGCATTGCCAAATTGTCAGGGGATGACTCCTGGGTCCCCATGACCCTCCCCTATGGTCCACAGTCTCAGGTGTAACCAGCCCTGTCCAGGGCACAACCTACTGTGGGTCAGAGATGATATATAAAAGAGAGGCAAGTATATACAACTTGCCTACTGTGGGTCAGAGTGTCAGGGACTTGTCCAGGGTCAAGGGAGCCCAGGTGTAGTGTTTGGGGCCAAGAGCCTGGCAGGGGGCAGATCGGGCATGTGTACTGACAGGCCCAATGTGGGACAGTGGTCCCTGGCCACTTAGACTGAAGTGGAAAGTTGAGAAGAAGGCTACTTCTTTGGTTCCCACTTCAGGTTCGTTTATATACATGCAGCTTAGATCACATGACAGGTGCCACATCACTCTCGCACACAGCCGTAACCACCCAGGTGTCTCTGTGGGAGATCCTGAGGGCATCTGGTGCAGGCATGCATACTGGGCACAGCAGGAAGTTGCCCAAGGTGCCCAGGCCAGGTGTATGGTGGGTGTGCTGCAGATGGGTCAATGGTACATTGATACAAAGAAGGTCGTCCATGTAGAATAATCTCATCTTCCCACAGTGGCCACAATAGATCGAAAACTTCCGGAGATATCCGGAAGTCACATGAGACCCGAGACCTGAGGTCCAGGCCATCTGGCCACACTGAGCATCTGGCACAGGGCACACATGGGAAGTGCAGCAGCTGGGTGTGGGCGCAGGTGTGGGTGCGAGTGCAGGTGTGGATGCAGGTATGGGCTAGGTCAGGGTGTATGTGAAGGGTCGGTTGAGGTTCCAACCTTAGTTGTGACTCCTGCTATCCTCAAGCTGTCAGAAATTAGGCAGTATTTCGACAGGGGAGGAGAAGAGTGAAAACCTGTTTCACCCTTCCCCACAATTTATATACATTGTTTACATCAAGAAATAAAGAGTAATAAACAATGAATAAAGAAAGCATGCACAGCACGCATTACCACACATCCATTCCCTACAGTATGCCCTGACACAAATGGAGTTTCGGTGCTGGTAACGGAGTGCCAAGAATGGAAAAGGGATAGAGGTGTAGTAATGCTTACTTGTTTGGGGACAGTACATTCCATTCCCCCATTCGCCTTAGGCCTCAGATGGTCTGGCTGTGTCAGGGCCTGGCCTCGGACTCAGAGGCTCCCTGACCTCAACCCCCATCTAACCTGTCCTCACACTATGCAGGGCATGAAATGTATAGTAAAAGAAAGTGAAGTATATACACTTGCCTATGTGGGGCATGAGATGAGAAGAAGGGTAAAGGTCTCATCTCCCTGCATGGTTGCTATATAAAGGAATGGGTCACATGCCCACAACTATACAGCTCCTAGAGTTGTGTAGTGTGACCTGGAGGGAACATCCAGGTGGCAGTGCCCAGTAAGCATGGGAACATTCTGGGCGAGTTACTCACCCAGAATTGTGGCTGTGACCCATGGGAACGTTCTGGGCGAGCTGCTCACTCAGAAAGTTCCCACACTATCCCATGCATGTGTGTACACAACACACAAATGCAACAATCAAAGAATAAAGGGAGTAAAGTAGGTGGGGAGTCCGGGGCACCCTAAGGCAGGGTGCTGAACCCTGACAGGCTGATAATACGCTTTTATGTGCTGTATATTGATGGGGTAGAAGTGAAGGCTGGTCCACCTTTTACAGCTACCCTGAGGGTTTATACATTTGAATACATTCTCAGCACAAATAAATAGAGAAGCTTCCGTGATGCTAAATTAGCATTGTGACATATTTATTAGACAACACAACATCAATTGATATTGTGGGCAGAATATAGACATGGGCCAGGGCCTCACAGAAAGTTAGTTATGTTAGAGAATATAATATGTTCCCAATAGTATAGAGTTTAACAGCCTATACCGGCATGGCTCAAGGGTGAGTAGTGTATGGATGCACGCTAGAGGTCCTGGGTTCGATACCAGGCTTGTCCATGATTTTATGTCCTTGCCATCTGACCTGGATTTGAAGCCATTTGAATTGGAGCTCCAGATAAGTCCAGTAGTTGCACCGGATACAATTTCGACAAGTTACATCCAAGTGGCAAAGACACCATCCACAACCCCAATGCCACTCTAAGCTTGCTAAACTCCCTCCAATTATAATTCTCAGCCTTGACATCCAAGAGAGACATAGGTGAGTGTTTGTTTGAGGCTCTAGCAGACCCAGTAGCACGCCAGGACCAAAACCCAGACCTCCCAACCACATACACAATCACTACCACCCTCCCCCTTTTCTCTGTCTTGAGTCTAGGCAATAGACCCATTACAATGTAACCCTGGGTACATGTATATAAACACAGCCAAAGTGGGAACCAGAGAAGCAACCTTCTTCTCATGTTATAAAAATGGGGCCTAATTGGCCCAGTCCAGGTGCAGGGAGTGGTCATGACATCAAAATAATGTTACAGTTAATGTAACAGAGGTTTAACAGTTGTCTTTACAATTACATTAACAAAGTGTGGATTTTGGTGATTGTTGATAGTTAGGTTGTTTGTCATGTGACTTTGTACTGTACAGAGCCCATAAGAGGCTAAAAATGGGAATATCCCATTTCCATAACATCTCATCTTTCCCACTTCAGGCAAGTACCTTAATTTCCCTTTTAATAACAATTTGTCTTTTTGTAAGGGGTTGGTGTATGTCAGAAACTGTATTCATGGTGATCGTGGGAAGCGGAGCGGAGTAAGGCAGCATAAGTGGTCACTTAGCTAATGAGCTACTCCGTTGCAAGGCGTCGTGGGGTTGGGACTTCAGCTTCAACGACTTGGCCAGAGCATTGCGCCACACGTTCTAGGCTGTCCCGTATTTCACATTAGTGGGAAAGACCTTGCGGCGATGTTGACTTAAGCGGGGATGAAGTTGAGAGGCGAACTTAAGATGAGAGTACTTGGGGGGGAATTCTAGTCGATATTCGAACTCAGGTACATCGACAGTAAACTACAAAGTATAAATACGAAAGGAGAACAGAGAAGGGGCCGGTCGGTCCGGCGTGGGACGGGAGCGGGATGGTAAGTACGACAGAACTAAAAGAGCAATGAGGACCAGGGAAATGGAACAGAAGAAATGAATGGAACAGAGGATGGCGAAGTTGGGAGGCAGAATGAATGGGCCGACAATCTAGGCACCAATATGGTGGCGGATCAGAATGTCAATATACGAATAAATCAAATGTCAATAAAGGAATAACCAATTGTCAATAAAGGAATAAACCAAATGTCAATAAAGGAATAACCAATTGTCAATAAAGGAATAAACCAAATGTCAATAAGGAGCGGATCAGCGGCGACCATAACAACCGCTAGTTAGTTAAGCGAATGAATAAGAATAAAACGGTATTGGCCGAATGGCTGAGGAACTCTAAGTGGTGGCAGGAGAACGAAGGAGGCGCTGCTACGGGGCCATAGAACGGGAACCACTATCGGCGCTGCTAAGTGATGGGCAATGGCGTGATTAACGGGTGCGAGTAACGGGCGCAAGAATGAGGGTGCAGAAAGTGGTAGAAGGGCGGGGACTTTGCGGGGCCGTGACAGTGTAGGTGCCAACCCTGGTTAGCCTAGTTCCTCAGGCTGCCAACAAAAGCAACTTGTATGAAGTTCGCCTTTGTAAGGGATATAGGCCATGTACTCACAGCCTACCTTATTCATTCTTCATTCTTTATTTATTGCATCAGGTTTGTACCTGACGCAACACTTCTATTCCCAAACCCTTCATTTCTACCATGCAGTCCCAAGCCGCAACTATCACATGTATATACAATATTGTATTTAACCTACATGCGAGGGGGGTAAAGGCTTCCCCAGCCTTTTACCCCCCCGTTGATAAATACAGCTTCATACAGCATACTTCAGCGGACTGGGAGTGTAAGGCAAAACCTGACTATTGCGAGATCACTTGTGAACTCAACCTTTAACAACGCTTACACTTTTTTACACTTGGTGAGCAAACAAATTTAACCTTTCAACTTCTTCTTCGATCGACGTCGCGAAGCGCGCTGATCTAATTGAAGTTCCCGACTTTTCGTTACCACCATGGTAAAGAAAGCTTCGGGTTTGCCCTCTGCAAAGAGGATGAGGGCGGCTGTGTGAAACAACGTGCCAACTTCAGATAGCACTGGGGTTCCCAGCGTTAACACGCCTGAAATCCCTCCCGATCCAGGAGAGACAGACGACCCCAACACATCTCCAGGTCCACCAGGAGACCTGGATGTGCCGGGCCCTTCCCAATCCACAACCACGGTTGTACCTGCCATGGTCACACCTCTTCCCCCTGAGGAAGACCCACCCAACGTGCCAGTTGGACCTGATCCATTCACTGACATGCCTGGTTCCCCTGATCCTCTCAGATCGGGTGAAGCATTAGGGCTTGGTGATGGCCCTGACAACTCAGTTGAGGTCGTCAACATGGGTGGTACCAAACCACGAGTGAAAACTCCTGGATCGTTGAATGATCAGCACAATGAATTGATGATGATGCTAATAAGCATCAATCAATGGCTGACTCGCCACAACGAGGCTATAGAGGACTTACAGGCTTGGATTTATCACCCTAGCCCTGGATTGGCTGGAAGCCAAATCCCTCTAAACTCACCCCAGTTTGAGGCAACAAGTGTGCCTCCACCCATACCAGTCAGGGGACGGGACAGAGAACCCATCCAGCGACGAAACTCGCTGGTGGACGAAGTCTCTGCTGACGAAGACTACGTCAGGACGACCACCTACCTCCCTGTGCCTGGGCATCCCAGTGTGAGGATGACAACATACGTCCCTCATGCTGATGAACCCGCACCTGGGAGTTCTTCGACCCCATTGCCAAAGAGAATCCCTTCTTATCTGAAGGGAAAGAGTGTCGATTGGGGCCCTCAGGGCCTGCCTGTTGTCCTCAGAAGGACACAGTCACTTCATGTGCCTGAAGCACCCATCGTTTTGGAAAGTTCGACAGATGAAGGGGAGACTGATCGCGATCCGTGATTGACCTGGAACCTACATCACGGTTCCGGGCCTGCCCTCGTCATGAACACATGGGGCGAAATAAAGAAAAAGCAAAGAACCATCTTTGCTCCCCGTGCACTTAGTGAGATGTCCGTGGAGTATGGGACATGGATGGATGGTGATGCCATCTACATGCACAGACCTGAAGCCCTGGACGATCATGCCCGGGAGATCAGATGTAGGCTAGGTTCCTACGGTCGATTTACCGCACAGGACCCACGAAGTGGGGCCTTTGAAAGATTAGGCCAAGATTGGCCCAGTCGGGTGGATGCCCAACAAATTCCTCTCAGGGCATCGAGACAAGAAGTCTCGACCCCACAGCCAACCATCTGTACCCTCCAAGACCCTCTTGGAGGGGCTTCACACCCCATAGTGGTTTCCCCAGTAAAGAGGGAAAGGGAGCCTAACTCCCAAGTTCCACGTGTTGCGAGCTCTGTCCACCCTCGGGTGGTGAGCTCGACTATCCCCTGTGACGGATTCGTTGAATCCACTCTCAGGTCTTATTCAAGGGACCCAAGTAGTTTGTCCCCCAGCGGCCCTGAGGGATTCATGGAGGAGCTGGTTCGCCAAATCACAAACCTGATCAGGATAAGGATCCTGACCCCTCTTCCTGCTGATGTAAAAACAGAGTTATTAAAGAAAAACTCTGTTCCATTCCCCACGACCCTATGGTCTGGGGAGAACAATCTCGAAAAATTCGAGAGTTGGCTCGTCAAACTCACTTCCTGGATTTCAGGAAATGGGTGGAAGGGCGAGAGCTACAACGAGCACCACATAGACGCTCTTGCTCACGTAGATGGCGATCCTAAACAGATCGTGCTTCACAAAATGAAGCTAGGATTCGAGAGTGGGACTATCCCCACCTTCACTCAGCTTTTAACAAAGCTGATGCTCACATATGTGAAGAGGTCAGCAGCAGTACCTGCCACCAAACTCTGCAAAACGCTTGCTTATGACCCTGCAAAGGGGATTAAGCATTTTTATACTCAGCTTCTCTGAGCATCAGAGAAGATGATCACTTGCCCTGACCAGGCAAGTTTCAATGATCATTTTGTAAACGCTCTCTGTCAGGAGATGGACCCCGGGTCCCCATGACCCTTCTCTCTATAGCCCACAGCCCTGTGTGTAAACAGCCTATCCTAAGGCACAACCTACTGTGGGTAAGAAAGTGAGAAGAAGGTTAACTTCTCACTTTCCCACAGTGGCCCAATATGGCGAAAACTTCCGGGGATACCCAGAAGTCACATGAAGAGTGGGAACCGGGCCCGGAGCATGCGGCATGTGGAGCATGCGGGGCGGAGCGCACATGCGGGTCCGGGTCCGGGCTAGTCAGGGTGTGTGCCCTGACACTCTCCCCTATCATATAAGGGAAGAGCTCGTACTACGCGACCAAATTTTGGTCAACTTCATGTCCAAAGATGAACTGTGGATGGCTGTTCTTCATGTTGACAACATGATGGACTCAATGCATGCAATAAACGCATATAAAGGAGGGCTTGCCCCCTCCAAATCAACCAATACACACCCGACTAGCAAGTCGAGTGTATCCAACAACTCAACCCTGTCCACAAGGGGATCATTGGGAGTTGCTCCTAAGATAGCCCCAATGAGGGGCTATCTGAATTTCTCTTCTTACTCTAGTAATAAGAAGCCTGCTGCAGCCACAACAAAGCCTGTTACAGGCTCATCTTCTTCACATGCCAAAGGGACTCTCCAGGCCCCTTCTTCATCAAACAACCGGTATTCTTCAAATCCCGGTAATTCTTATAACACCCAATGATGCCCTTTGAAGGATTCGAAGGGCAACCCCCTCTGCTACAAATGTGGCAAGATCAGATACTCTTTCGAGTGTCCAAACCATCCACCCAGAGCCAAGTTATACGCTCTGGGCATAGAAGAGGACCAGGACCCTCCCCACGAGCCAGAGGGTCAGGGAGACGAAGATGATCCATCTGGGGAGGCCCCAGAAGAAGAAGTTACTGCTGAAGATGGTGATCCTGATGATCGATTCATCGAGGACCCATACGAACCGGCTGGCCCTCCTGATGAGATGGTCAGCGAACCTGAAGATGAGGTCATCTTTGGGCACTTAAGTTTATGGGGGATGGGTATTATTGACCCATCCGAGGACAACTATGCCCTTAAGTTAGCATCGGCTCAAAGAGCCGACTCGCTCCTCTCTGAAGAGCAAATCGTCACTGAGCTGGTAGACGAACCAGTTCGTCAATTTAAGACTGAGGGGCAGTTGCCTCTCCCAAAGCCGGAGACTGATATAGTCCTGGAAAAAATAACCTGCCTATGTTCGACGCAAAGTTCAGACTTTCGCATGAGGCAGGTAAATACCCTACCGATCGGAGTACCAACTTACGTCACACCCTGACTGGTCTCGTTGAGATCAACGGGACCAAAGCATTCACATTGTTCGATAGTGGGGCGGAGACCAACACATTATCCCCTGACTTTGTCAGAGCATGTCACATCCCACTCCTTGAACTTCCCAATCCCCTCATGCTCCAAATGGGCACCAAGGGGAGTAGGTCCTGTATTTACTATGGGACCAATGCTGATCTGACCATACTTGGTCAGAAAAACAAACACTGCTTTGATGTCGTGAACATCAAATGTTACGATGCCATTCTAGGTGCTCCATGGTTGAACACCTACAAAGCTTTGCTGGACTTCAGCAAGCACACCGTCCATGTGAAGGGCAGTCTTATCTCCACTTTCAACGTTCCTACAGAACATTCCTTCGTGTTGACTGGCCACCAGGCCCATCAAGATTTCACTAGCCTCTCTAGGAGGCCTCCACCCACAAGCAGCCATGTGTCTGCTTCGACCAACACACCCAAGGTGTGACTCAATAAGGCAAAGGAGACTTTGCCACCCAATCACTCCTCTAGGGAGGAGCAGGGTCTTCATAGCATATCTGCTATGAAGGCCATGTCCAATGCATCCACAACAGACACATTAAGTTACCTGGCTCACTGGCCTGATCCCCACTCTGGGAAGTTACCAGACTGTTCTCATCTCAAAAATCGCCCAATGACAGATGATGGTTTTAGTGCCCTCTGCAACTGGTGGAGGTCACGATTTGAGGATGTCATGGTGCCTGCGCCTGAGATCTTACCTCCCTTCCAGGAGGTTAATCACAGGATCGACTTTATCGATCCCAATAAAAGGTATCATGAGAGGCGTGCAACATGCCCCCAATCCCTCGAGCAACAGCTATGAGAGAAAACTCTTCAATATGAGCATGCAGGCTGGTGGGTTCGCCAACCAGCCGATATGGTGTGCCCATTACTATGTCTTGCAAAAAAGGACAGTTCAATAAGAACCGTTATTGACGCAAGGAATTGTAATGCAAATATGATTCTCGACATCACACCGATGCCTGACATGCGATCCATTATGGATAGCTTGGCAAGGAATTCATATCGATCAAAGATCAATATGACAGATGCTTATGAGCAAATTCGCGTGGAACCTGAGTGCGTTCCACGCACTGCATTTGCCACTCCTTGGGGCACATACATTCCAAACATACTGCAACAAGGGGACTGTAATGGTCCCTCCACATTCCAGCAGACCATGTCATGGGTCCTCTGAGATAATATTGGGTGGGCTGTTCACACATGGTTTGATGACATATTTATGGGAACCGATATGGTTTCCAAACACAATGAGAAACTTCAGTGGGTGCACAACCGACTAAAGTCTGAACAGCTATACATTAGCCGTAAGAAATTCGAACCATTTGCCCCGGTTCTCGACATTCTGGGATGCAAGGTTGATGGCCATGGGGTCCATGTGGACTCTGATAAAATGGCGAAGCTTCGCACTTGGCATGAACCTTCAGACCACTGGGAAGTGCTACGCTTCCTAGGCCTAATAGAATACCTTGCTCAATTTATGCCTAATGTTAGCGCATACACTGGTCCTTTGGAGACCATTTGCACTAACAATCTGCCTTTCTTCTGGTTGCCACTGCACCAGAAGTGTTTCAATAACATAAAGAATCTTGCATGCAAGACGCCGATTCTAAAACCAATCATCTGGCAAGTACCAGATGGCCTCTCTGAACAAGAGAGTAACAGATTTCGAGTCTGGGTTATTACCGATGCCTGCCCTGCAGGCGTTGGGGCTATTTTGGCTCAGGGCACCAGCTGGGAACTATCCTGCCCAGCTGCCTTCATGTTGAAGAAGTTTACTTCGACACAATGTTCATACTTCACATATGAACTGGAAGCCCTGTCCAAGTGGATGGATGAATTGACTGGAGGGCGTGAATTTACAGTCGTTACAGACCATAAAGCCCTCACCTACTTCAAACAGAAGCAGCACACTTCTGGGCGCCACATAAGGTGGCAAAACTTCTTTTATGGCTTCAAGTGCGACATCTTGTATGTCGAGGGCCACAAAAACAAAGTGGCTGATGCACTCAGCTGCTATTACAAGTCTTCGTCAGACGAAGACCTTCATTATGATGACTTTGTCTCTGCAGATGTCCACATAGACAAATTTGGAGATGACCTCCCTCTAAGTCATATTGAAGAGGCAGAAGAAATGCTTCTTCTGCACTGACTTTGGTTACGACTCGCTATGACGAGTAGTGTGATCGAAGACCGCGACTTGGAAGCTGCGGTCCTAGACCCCCCTGACAATCATTCAGGGAGGAGCAAGCTGATGCTCGCTGACATTGTACTGCCTGAGGATTCCCTCAGGAGTGTTGTTGAGGAAGATGACTTCCTCTCCTCTGTGAGAGAGGGGTATGCCGAGCATGCAGCTTGGCAAGGGATTCTAGAGAATCCCGGACAATTCCCAAGATTTAAGGTCGAGAGTGGCCTTATTTCAAAGTTGAATGACTTGGGAGAACCACGTCTGGTTCTCCCAGACGTCATTCATAAAGGGGAGAAGGCGACTGGGATTGCCATCCAAGATGCACATGAGATCCTAGGTCACCTAGGATTCCATAAAACCTT